GATGTGTGGGTCAGTCTAGTATGTGTGGGTCAGATGTGTGGGTCAGATGTGTGGGTCAGTCTTGTATGTGTGGGTCAGATGTGTGCGTCAGTCTAGTATGTGTGGGTCAGATGTGTGGGTCAGTCTAGTATGTGTGGGTCAGTCTAGTATGTGTGGGTCAGTCTAGTATGTGTGGGTCAGATGTGTGGGTCAGTCTAGTATGTGTGGGTCAGATGTGTGGGTCAGTCTAGTATGTGTGGGTCAGATGTGTGGGTCAGTCTAGTATGTGTGGGTCAGATGTGTGGGTCAGTCTAGTATGTGTGGGTCAGTCTAGTATGTGTGGGTCAGATGTGTGGGTCAGTCTAGTATGTGTGGGTCAGTCTAGTATGTGTGGGTCAGATGTGTGGGTCAGTCTTGTATGTGTGGGTCAGATGTGTGGGTCAGTCTCGTTTGGTTGGGTCAGTCTTGTATGTGTGGGTCAGATGTGTGGGTCAGTCTCGTTTGGTTGGGTCAGTCTTGTATGTGTGGGTCAGATGTGTGGGTCAGTCTCGTTTGGTTGGGTCAGTCTTGTATGTGTGGGTCCTAGTCCTACTTGTTGTGTTGTTAAAGGGGTAAAAAGTCTGCGGATGAATATTTGTCAGAACAAAAAGTGGTTTAAAACCGCAGTGGGTAATTGCTTGACACCTTGATCACGTGATTTGGGACCGGATAATTTGATCTGGCATCAAATGTCTTAGCTGTAACAAGTACAACATATGCCTTTACTTGTGGGAGGTGTTTGTGGGAGGTGTGTGTGGGAGGTGTGTGGGGAAGGAGTGAAGGGAGGGACGGGGAAGGACCTACAAAGCCAAAAGACCACACAGTGGGCGGGGGAGGGGGTAGACCTAGGCCGCTAAGGGGACAAAAATCAGACCAAAAAAGTAAATGAATTGAAAAAAAAAAACAGTTTTAGGCCCGAATTGAGTTTGGGATATTTTGTGTTATTGTTAGTCTCACGGTGGAAAAAATTTCCAATGACATATTTTTATTTACTAAATTAGGAGTTTAATTTGAAAATGTAGTGAGACCGTTTAATATATATATATATATATATATATATATATATATATATATATATATATATATATATATATATATATATATATATATACGCCCATATATGACCATATCTATATATATATGACCATACCTATATATATGACCATATATAGGGGCCCGGCATTATTTGCAGTGCGGCCTTTTGTTCTAGTTCCGCCATTGGAGACGGGTGGGTATTTTCAAGACATTGCGACACTTGTAATCATGCAATAGGCCTACCTGAGTCTGTTTTAGACGTATATTAGTTGTACAACTACACATGGAGGTGTACACAGCTTAATTTTCAAATTTCATCCACTACTATTTTTATATTAACTGGAAAAAGAGATACACATTTTTTATTATCATATGTTAAAATCAATGAATAAGCTATACTGTAATTATAGCCGTGAGAAATTACGACATGAATGTGCGCTATGTAAGAGATTGAATAGAACGGGTAAGTTTAATTCTCGCTTCAATAACTTTACATGGGCACGATGATAGAGATATTTTGTTCTTACAGTAGCACTGCTGAAATCTAGGGTGCTGTTTGTGTCTCTGTCTCACTATGTCTGTCTCTGTATCTCCATGTCTCTCTGTCTATGTCTCTCTATGTGTCTCTGTCTACTATGTCTGTCTCTGTCTGTCTATGTATCTTTGTCTCTCTATGACTAAGTCTCTCTATGTGTCTCTCTGTCTACATATCTAAGTCTCTTTATGTTTTGCTATGTCTCTGTCTATGTTTCTATTTCTGTCTATGACTCTCTATGTTTCTCTGTCTCGCTGTGTCTCTCTGTCTGTCTATGTATCTATGTCTCTCTAAGACTCTATATGCATCTCTATGTCTCTGTGTGTCTCTCTGTCTATGTATCTATGTCTCTCTATGACTCTCGTTGTCTCTCTACGTCTCTCTATGCCTGTCTATGCCATGTACAGACCGATCAAACAACACAGTACCACTGTTCCTATAGTTTACCCCAACAAAGACCACGACCCAGTCAACTGGAACCAACCGACTCTAATCCAGAGCTCTAAGAAAGCCATAGACAGCCTACATGTCTGACATTCTAGGAACTGACACCCAGGTGTCGATAAAATAGGATTATAAAACTTTTGTTCGCCATTCTAGGAATTGTTACAGAGAAGACAACGAATCGTAACACAATCTAGCTCGGCCTTATATGTTCCTAACCTCGATGAACTTTGTCTATTTAAAACTTCTTTAATTAACGCCAGCCATGTTTAGATGTCCTGAGAAGACAAGCCACATTGAAGGCTAAAAATAAAAATAAACCGGGAGTGATCTCCCCTAAACTTCCTCGAATATTCTAATATAAAACTACGAGGGATGGCAACTCAGGACATAGACAATATTTGTAATCCATTTTTTATTTCTTAAACTTTTTATAATAGAATGGAATCTCGTAAAAAAAAATGAATTGCACACCAAGTGAACGCCTAATAAAATGTGCATAATAGTGCGCAATATTATGAGTACTTTATAAATTTACATGCGTTTTTTGAGAAACTGGAAATAGCGTAAATTACTACTTCCGGTCAACGGAAATTACTCAAAATTTGATAGAAGGTAGAGAATTAGATATTGTACTTACATGTGAAATTTCATTTATCTATCTGAAATAGTACTCAAATTATAGGCTTTTTAAAAATTCAAAGTAGGAAAAGTACCACTTCCGGTTATCGGAAATCGCTCAAAAGTTGATCAGGATCTACGATTTTGATAAAATTCTTATATATGAAATTTCATCAACCTAGCTGTAACGGTACTCAAGTTATCGTGTTTACACACAGACAGACAGACACACAGACATGCGGGCAAGCTTGCAAAATTATGTTTTTCCGTATCAGTGAGGTGTAAAACGTCGAGATTTTTAAAAATCTTGATTTTTTTTTGCACGATTACAAGACTTTCTCTATACTTCATATATACGAGAAAGTAAAAAACTAGGCTTTTAAAACCGTTCATAGCATGATCAACTCATTTATATCTTGCTACAACTGATCTTGTTTTTTTCTCTCTAGGAACTAGCAGTCAAATGGTTGAGCTTGTAGGATGTTTGTGTATCGAGCACCAAGAACTATAACATAATGTCTAGGATCTAAATATATGTAGCTGTACCAAGAACCATACTGTACAGTTTAGGTCTCTAGATGTAGCTGTACCAAGAACCATAAAGTTTAGGTCTCTAGGATCTAGATGTAGCTGTACCAAGAACCATAAAGTTTAGGTCTCTAGATGTAGCTGTACCAAGAACCATAAAGTTTAGGTCTCTAGATGTAGCTGTACCAAGAACCATAAAGTTTAGGTCTCTAGATGTAGCTGTACCAAGAACCATAAAGTTTAGGTCTCTAGATGTAGCTGTACCAAGAACCATACCGTAAAGTTTAGGCCTCTAGATGTAGCTGTACCAAGAACCATAAAGTTTAGGTCTCTAGGGTCTAGATGTAGCTCTACCAAGAACCATACAGTAAAGTTTAGGCCTCTAGATGTAGCTGTACCAAGAACCATACTATAAAGTTTAGGGCTGAAGGATCTAAATGTAGCTGTACCAAGAACCATACAGCAAAGTTTAGGTCTCTAGATGTGGCTCTGTACCAAAAACCATACAGCAAAGTTTAGGTCTCTAGCTGTACCAAGAACCATACAGTAAAGCTTAGGTCTCTAGATGTAGCTTTACCAAGAACCGTACTGCAAAGTTTAGGTCTGTATGATCTAGATATATCTGTACCAAGAACCATAAAGTGTAGGTCTCTATGATCTAGATGTAGCTGTACCAAGAACCATAAAGTTTAGGTCTCTAGATGTTGCTGTACCAAGAACCGTACTGTAAAGTTTAGGTCTCTAGATGTAGCTGTACCAAGAACCATACAGTAAAGTTTAGGTCTCTAGCTCTACCAAGAACCTTACAGTAAAATTTTAGTCTCTAGATGTAGCCAGTGTTTCTTCCAGACTTTTTTCTCCGGGGGGGGGCACTTGAAATTTTCGGGGGGGGCGGTAGACTTTCTTCGGGGGGGGGGGGGGGGGCGGACACTGTTAAAAGTATATATTTTCTATATAAATTATATAAATTTCATTTCGTTCGGGGGGGCGGTAAAATTTTTTCGGGGGGGGGGGGGGGGGCAAAGCCCTCCCGAAGAGATGCCTGGAAGAAACTCTGGATGTAGCTGTACCAAGAACCATTAAGTTTAGGTCTCTAGATGTAGCTGTACCAAGAACCATACCGTAAAGTTTAGGTCTCTAGATGTAGCTGTACTAAAACCCGTACTGTAAAGTTTAGGTCTGTTGGATCTAGATGTAGCTGTACCAAGAACAATACTGTAATATTGATGATAGCGACAGTCTTTGTTTCTGTCTTTTGTGTATAGTGGTTTATTGTCCTACGATTTAAAACCATTTGTTTGACATTTTCTAAGGTCAAATATGACAACACACAGAAACGAGAACCACATAATTATTCAGAAAATGTACATATTTTAAAATTATTCCTAAATCCAAATGTTTTAATAAAAATTAAACCATGTCAAATTGTCTATTAATATAGCAATATAGACCTGCTTTAAAAAAGGCAAGGCGAATTGGAGCCTGGTGGAGTGCGGGTTCGAATCCTGTTTGGGTGTAGACTGTCTTTTCTGTGACTTTAATACTTTCCTATGTCTACCTTGTGTACATTTCGGGGTCAGAGGTCACGCTAGACCACGTCTAATGTATAAACAAACTCCAAGATACAAACTCTTTCTTAACATCACCCCCAAACCCCCACTGTACAAACCCTTAACACCAACCCCCACCAGCAAACTCTACTGAACATTAAACAAAACAAAAAAAGATAAAATTAACACACACACACAAAACATTACATAACTCCATCCTTATCGATAATATTATTATAATTTCTTGAAACTCAAAATATTTTCTCTAAACAGACTTTTTTAATTTTAAGACATTTGGTAAACATAATAAAAGAATGTAATTTTATATGAAGGAAAGCGATACACAGACATAGGCTTATATCGGATCTCTAAAAATTTCATACTTGCCTCAATTTAATATGAGGTGAGTTATTCTATAAACAACCAAAATACAAACAATCCACAAATTTACTAGACTATACGCATTTATTTTACGTACTGAGTTACAAATTCATTAGCTGTAAAGTTGAACTGCTTCTCTTGTGTATAGAACATCTTAATTTTGTTTTCCTGGCATGGCGGACGACCGAGAGAAGAAAAAATTGAAGCTACAGAGATCAGATTGTAGAGACAGCAAGAAGTCTCGTGCCTTATGCAGCCCAAAACTTAACTATTGAGTTTTTTTTTCATATGCAGGCTCAAGTGATACCTGCTTGTCGACGTTTTAGATACGGACATTGGAAATTTGAAATCTTCAAATCGATGTCTGAACTCTCACTTCAAAGCTAATTCCTAGGCCCATTCCGGGGTTCTAGATCTAAAGCTAATCCCTAGGCTCATTCCGGGGTCTGGATCTAAAGCTAATCCCTAGACCCATTCCGAGGTCAAGATCTAAAGCTAATCCCTAGACCTACCATTGTCGATGTATGTAAAGCTAATCCCTATGCCTACCACTGGTGATGTATGTACAGCTAATCCCTATGCCTACCACTGGTGATGTATGTACAGCTAATCCCTATGCCTACCACTGGTGATGTATGTAAATTTAATTCCTAGCCCTATCACTGGAGATAATTGTAAAGCTAATCCCCTGCTCCCCACCCGGCGTCTATATCTAAAGCTAATCCACAGCCCCAACCTCCCCTATTCTGTATCTAAAACAACTCCCTCGCCCCACTCCGGGGCCTCTCACAGCGTATACTCCAACAGAGCAGTGTAGGAGCACGCCTCAGCCTCGTAAGACGCCATCACTTGAACTTTGGACCCAGAAGTCGCGTGCTCGTGAAGGTCAAGGGTGTCACTCCATCTATTCCCGTCCTTGGTCAACTGAAACCACTCATCCCCTGCGTGGACAGCAACCTTGAAAGCTCCAGGCACCAGAAGGTCAAACTTGACCTGGTCAAGACGCTTCTGTTGGGCGTTCAGCACCATAGGTTGCTCCAGGACACAGTAGTCCGTGTAGAACTTTGTGTACACCTTGGGGTAGGTCCGGGCTGGTTTGGGAACCTCTACCTCGATCAGGTAGTTGTAGACGTTGGGCAGCGACTCCTTGGGTTCGGACTCCTGCAGGGCGAAGATGCTGAACTTGTACCATCCGGAGGCGGGGAAGCCGAGGTGGAAGAAGATGGAGGTCTTGTCCTTCCTCTGGCTCAGCGTGTACTCTGGGAGTTCTTTCTCCCCGTCACACTGGATCAGCTTGGTGACTGTCTGAGACAAAAACACCAGAGACATTGTCAGCTTCGGTTGATCAACTTTATGTAAATTCTGGTTAGTTTGTCGTGATCGGTGGCCGGAAAGAACCGCAACGGAAAAAAGCGCAACGGAAAAAAGCGCAAATCAAAAAGCACAACGGAAATAAGCGCACACAGAAAAAAGCGCAAAGAGAAAAAAGCGCAAACGGAAAAAAGCGCAAAGAGAAAAAAGCGCACACAGAAAAAAGCGCAAACAGAAAAAAGCGCAAACTGAAAAAAGCGCAAAGAGAAAAAAGCGCACACGGAAAAAAGCGCAAACAGAAAAAAGCGCAAACAGAAAAAAGCGCAAAGAGAAAAAAGCGCACACAGAAAAAAGCGCAAACAGAAAAAAGCGCAAACGGAAAAAAGCGCAAAGAGAAAAAAGCGCAAACGGAAAAAAGCGCAAACAGAAAAAAGCGCACACGGAAAAAAGCGCAAACGGAAAAAAGCGCAAACGGAAAAAAGCGCAAACAGAAAAAAGCGCAAACGGAAAAAAGCGCAAAGAGAAAAAAGCGCACACAGAAAAAAGCGCAAACAGAAAAAAGCGCAAACGGAAAAAAGCGCAAACAGAAAAAAGCGCACACAGAAAAAAGCGCAAACGGAAAAAAGCGCAAACAGAAACAGAAAAATGCGCAACCAGAAAAAACAACGAAAAATGTGCAAAAGAGAAATTTAGCACAAAGACCATATGGACTAGATGACACATTTATACATGACTGTTAGGGCTGCTGTGAGAGTGTCGTGTTTGATCACGTGATCTACTACCATTTAAAGCGTACCACTACCATCTGCATTCCCATCACCACGATACAGGCGATAATCACTTTACACAATGCCTATTATTTTCTTGGTCAATAATTATTCAACTACTATTCTCGTATAAACATAAAACTATCGACATTACACGAAGTATCTTTCACATTCTCCCTAGTCCGAACTACCTAGCTTGCATACTATAACAACCCGTTCCTATATATATATATATATATATATATATATATATATATATATATATATATATATATATATATATATATATATATATATGGGGGGGGGTTATGACCCCCCATAAACCCCCCCCCCTGCCTACGCCACTGCATAAAAGTATTCGCATAGATTTAGAGTAGCGTCCCTTTTGTTTACATGTTTTCATTACCCTTCAAACAAAAGTCTATTTTAGTTATATTGAGATTAAAGAATGTAAATAAATAGTATACACAATTCTGTAGAATAGGAACGATTGGGAGGGAAGTGACATTTAGCGCAGTAAATTTAGAGGTTAGGTAGGGTATAATAAATGGTGGGGTTAGGAAAGTTAAGGGGTCCATTCTCTAATAGGCAATCTATGTCTCTTTCGTACTTTCGTGTTGGTTTATTGTCGAACCTGTCCTCACCTCACATCACAACAGTTGGGTGACGCTTACCGTGTAATGTTAAAATAAATAGCATGTAATTGAGTTAGTTCGAAGTGAGTTTTCATACAAGCCCAACGCACTAATTAAGGTTGTCGCAAAATGTAACATATATGTAACATATGTCAATGATGTCAATGAATTTTCATTAAAAAAATGATGTCTAGTACAGTTTACGAAACTTACGAACTTCGCCGATACTTTTTTGGTGGGTAGTTTGGTAAGTATGTAGGCGGGTAGGTGGGTAAGTGGGTAAGTGGGTAGGTGGGTAGTTAGGTAGGTAGGTAGGTAGGTGGGTAGTAGGTAGGTAGGTAGGTGCGTCATAATGTGAAAAAATATTAAATACAAAATTGTTATTTTGGTGCGAATGAATGTTGTTACGAGAGATATGACGAATGCATGTTTAATGACGCGGATGAAAGAGAGTGAAGTTTTGCCATAGGAACGGGTTGTTATAGTATGCAAGCTAGGTAGTTCGGACTAGGGAGAATGTGAAAGATACTTCGTGTAATGTCGATAGTTTTATGTTTATACGAGAATAGTAGTTGAATAATTATTGACCAAGAAAATAATAGGCATTGTGTAAAGTGATTATCGCCTGTATCGTGGTGATGGGAATGCAGATGGTAGTGGTACGCTTTAAATGGTAGTAGATCACGTGATCAAACACGACACTCTCACAGCAGCCCTAACAGTCATGTATAAATGTCATCTAGTCCATATGGTCTTTGTGCTAAATTTCTCTTTTGCACATTTTTCGTTGTGTTTTTTCTGGTTGCGCATTTTTCTGTTTCTGTTTGCGCTTTTTTCCGTTTGTGCTTTTTTCTGTGTGCGCTTTTTTCTGTTTGCGCTTTTTTCCGTTTGCGCTTTTTTCTGTTTGCGCTTTTTTCTGTGTGCGCTTTTTTCTCTTTGCGCTTTTTTCCGTGTGCGCTTATTTCCGTTGCGCTTTTTGATTTGCGCTTTTTTCCGTTGCGCTTTTTTCCGTTGCGGTTCTTTCTGGGAACCGTCGTGATCGTACACAGACATTTAATTGAACTCTATTTATGAATAAATATTATATTCAATTCGTTTAGGAACTGTAAATCTACATTTTAGTGAGTTTTTGTTCTTCCTGCTAATTATGTTTTATCTGAGATTTTAATTTATAAACAGTCGCCTATGCTAGTGCTAGATATTTTGAAAGAATATAACCAAATTGATATTTTTTAGTGGTCGGATGGCGTTGGGGATGTAAATAGTTAGCAGCTTTGGAATCCAATGGCCAACTCTTCCAGGTTACCTAGGATTGAAACTAAACATACCTGTCAGCTCATGGAACTGTGATCAAACGGTAGAGCATACGACTGCTGACATATAAGTCTCGAGTTCGAATCCAGGCTAAGTCGTAGAACGTCCACCGAGCCACAAAAGATTGGACTTACGTTAGAGAAAGTAAAGACGGCTGGGCATATTGCTGACAACGCCATCGCTTCATATGCCAAGGTCACAGAAACTACTGCACTTGCCCATGGTTCGAAAGGAAATTTACTTTACCTGTTAGCTCCGAGTTTAAACTCAACTTACCTTGATTGGGACAGCAGTAGTCAACTCTATGACTTCCCTGTTAGCTCTGAGCTTAAACTCCGGGGTCTTGTGACTTTTAGTTTTGAGCTTAGCCTCGCTGAATGTGGGCAGGGAGCCCAGAAAACCATCGGCCACTGTGGGCCTGTTGCCGGCCATGACAGGGGGGTGACTGGACCTCTGGGTGTGACTGGACCTCTGGGTGTGACTGGACCTCTGGGTGTGACTGGACCTCTGGGGGTGACTGGACCTCTGGGGGTGACTGGACCTCTGGGGGTGACTGGACCTCTGGGTGTGACTGGACCTCTGGGTGTGACTGGACCTCTGGGTGTGACTGGACCTCTGGGGGTGACTGGACCTCTGGGGGTGACTGGACCGCTGGGGGTGACTGGACCGCTGGGGGTGACTGGACCGCTGGGGGTGCTGCTTGAATACAGGTATACAGGAAGCTGTGGGACACGTAGGGGTTCTGGTGTTAGGTGGGCGGAGTCAGGTGATGGTTCGTGTGTTGGGTGGGCGGAGTCAAGTGATGGTTCGGGTGTTGGGTGGGCGGAGTCAAGTGGTGGTTCGGATGAGGAGGGCGGAGTCAGGTGATGGTTCGTGTGTTGGGTGGGCGGAGTCAAGTGATGGTTCGGGTGTTGGGTGGGCGGAGTTAGGTGATGGTTCGGGTGAGGAGGGCGGAGTCAGGTGGTTCGTGTGTTGGGTGATGATTCGTTTCTTAGATAGGCGGAGTCAGAAGGAGGTTCGTATAGACGGAGTCAGATGAAAACGTGTGATGTCTCTAAGGATGTGAGCTGTGAAGCGAGAAGATGTGAGACACATCACAAGTTGCTGCCAACTTAAAAGAACCATCAGCTCTGATACAACGCGCCAGAGTTGTTCGTGGTGGTGTTACATCATTGGGCAAGGGTTTGGAATAGGTCTTTGGTTAAAACTTGGCTAAGATTGGGGTTGTGAAATATCTTTGGAAATGGGTCGTTCATAAACCACGACACATTTAGTGGGGGGGGGGGGGCTATGTGCGGTAAAGGGGGTATGTGACGATTTGTGACGATTTGTGACGATGGACAAGGAGCGGTGGAAGGTCCATACGTGTGATGAGTTTTTGTATTTTAAAAAGTAATGTTAAAAAATAAATTGTAGCCATTTTATTTGGAATTTGTTTTCTGTTATATTTTTTAAAAATAGATACATTAATATACTCAATATTACCCTAGCTTATTAACTTCGTTTAAATCAAAATAACATCAAAACTACATGTATTTTATATTAATTAAACAAAATGATTTATCCAAATTAAAAGGGATTTTAGAACGTATTTTTAAGTAAACTTTACACTTGTTCTAGATCTAGATCCAGAAATGTAGATCTAGATCTGGATCTAGATTCTAGATGTAGATCTAGATTCTAGATTTATTCTAGATCTAGATCTATCTAGAATCTGGGAGTCCTTTTATAATTAATAACAACTAAATTATAAACTTTTTGTTACACGATGATATACAGCTGAATAATTAAAACTAAAATATTAAATAAATAATTAAAGTTTGCTAATTAGCTTTAAAATGTCCTAAATAAAATGAATTTCTCCACTAACCAGTGATGTTTTGACTAGACAGAATTTAAAATGTCTCTCATGTACACTGATCCATCAATCTATAGTGTACACCGGTGCGTCATACCAGCGGATATTCCCGTTGATAACATTTTGATTTGGTGTGATGTTTACAGTTTAGCTCTCACTTCAGCATTCATCCATATTAACTCAGAAACCTTTTTTAAACAACTTATCATAATCTTTTCCATGGGACAGATGAAGTAGAGTTTCAAAGATCTCGGCATACATAAGGATAGTGAGGTCAGCGTTATGCCCAGCTGCCTTTGTTTCCCTAATATAAGTTAGGTACCCATCAGAGCTGGGTGGACCCAGGGATGTCCAACACACTTAAACTATAGAATCTGATGATGTTAGCCACATGATCTGATGATGTTAGCCATATGATCTGATGATGTTAGCCATATGACCTGATGATGTTAGCCATATGATCTGATGATGTTAGCCATATGATCTGATGATGTTAGCCACATGACCTGATGATGTTAGCCACATGACCTGATGATGTTAGCCACATGATCTAATGATGTTAGCCACAAGACCTGATGATGTTAGCCACATGACCTGATGATATTAGCCATAGGATGTAGGCCTACTGATTTAGGCAGTGGCGTATTTGTATTATTAGCAGTTATTTAACAGTTTTGAAATAATTTCTGGTACACGGTAATGAAATTATATCAATAAATCTTATATAAAACCAGATTAGCTAATCAAATAGTAAAACATGTAGCTAAAGAACTTAAACAACAAAAAGTTAACACTCAAAAAAAAATTATACGAGCCGACCCGCGGCGTAGCATACGCCGCTATTTAGTTGTTTAATTTTTTACTTTTCAGTAATTTTATAACTTGTTAATTGGATACTACCCTACACCCCCGTGAAAGCAGCCGTCCGTGACGACAATTGACATTTATAGACGATAATGAAATGATCAAGCAGAACTTTTTTATTACCCCCCCCCCTTAGTTTCAACTCTTTTAAAGACTAAATTATCTGCCCATAATAGCCGTCACTAATTCGACCCGGCTCTAAGATTGTTGACATTTGGCGTGAACCACAACTCACAAGACTGGAGAGCAAGGGAGGGGGCGGTAGGAGGGTTCGATAGTCAGCTTGCGTCGTGGTGTCCATGAAGAAAATTATATTTTTTTATCATTATATAGATTCCTCGTGAAGGGAAACAACTCAGTAAATATTTTCGTTTAAATCAGCCTAGATTGGTTATTTTTCCTAACCAAAAGTAAACAATTAGTACTCTTATTAAGAAGCTGGTGGGGGAGGGGAGGGGGGAAGGCGCTAGTTGTGGTTTTTATTTCCATTGGGGGGGGGGGGGGGGGAAGGGGCTTTTGTGAAAATGTGTGAAGAGGGAGGGAGGGGGGGGGGGTGGCGGCAAAAAAATTATGTTATAATCAACGACCCCCAAGTACAAAATCAAGCGAAGAACAAAGTTGGTTTTAAATTTATTTCAGATATTCAATGCATAGTAATATAACAACCATTAATAATTATAACAAAGAAATCAAGCAACAAGAAATTATATACATTGAAACTGGTTTATCAACATTTATGTAAAGGTTTCAAGGATTAAATTAATTTACAAGTATAACATTGTGATTTAAGTGTCCAGGACTATAGACATATAGGGGTTCTATTTTAAGTTAAGATGACCTCCACGTCCGTGATCACATTTACTAGCATATCACGTGACCTTATTTACTAGCACGTCACGTGATCACATTTACTAGCATATCACGTGACCACAATAACTAACAAAACGTGGTTACACACTGATCAGCATTGTATATGTCATGTTGACCATCACATTATGAACCATATTGGTCTACACGATAAGTCACCATATTGCCAACAGTACGTATGTTTTGAGACAATATTGTCCAGAGAAACTATATACAGTATATTATTGTCTGGTCAAACTATACACGTTTTATAATAATATCCAGAAAACTATCCACATTTCATCATACACAAAACTATCCACAGTTCACTGAAAGAGCACTACCTCGCTCGTCCAGCACCACGTGACGTCATCAACTGTCGCATTAGTCCCGTCCTCCATCTTGTCACGACTTAGGTCTAGTCACAGAACTTGGGTAGACCAGTACACGGTTGGCTGAGCCTGACAGATCACAACAAAACGAATTACAACATCACAACAAAACTAATTACAACAACATCACAACAAAACTAATTACAACAACATCACAACAAAACTAATTACAACAACATCACAACAAAACTAATTACAACAACATCACAACAAAACTAATTACAACAAGATCACAAGAAAACTAATTACAACATCACAACGAAACTAATTACAACAAGATCACAACAAAACTAATTACAACAACATCACAACAAAACTAATTACAACAACATCACAACAAAACTAATTACAACAACATCACAACAAAACTAATTACAACAACATCACAACAAAACTAATTACAACAACATCACAACAAAACTAATTACAACAACATCACAACAAAACTAATTACAACAAGATCACAACAAAACTAATTACAACAACATCACAACAAAACTAATTACAACAACATCACAACAAAACTAATTACAACAACATCACAACAAAACTAATTACAACAACATCACAACAAAACTAATTACAACAACATCACAACAAAACTAATTACAACAACATCACAACAAAACTAATTACAACAACATCACAACAAAACTAATTACAACAACATCACAACAAAACTAATTACAACAGCATCACAACAAAACTAATTACAACAACATCACAACAAAACTAATTACAACAACATCACAACAAAACTAATTACAACAACATCACAACAAAACTAATTACAACAACATCACAACAAAACTAATTACAACAACATCACAACAAAACTAATTACAACAACATCACAACAAAACTAATTAAACCAGTACACGGTTGGCTGAGCCTGAGAGATCACAACAAAACTAAAAATGTTAAACTTTTAGTGTGAAATGCTGATTGTTATACTGATTGTTATGCTGATTGTTATGATTGTTACGATGATTGTTATACTGATTGTTATACTGATTGTTATACTGATTGTTATACTGATTGTTATACTGATTGTTATACTGATTGTTATAATGATTGTTACAACCTTGGCAGAATAAAGCGAAGGTCATTACTACAGCCTCACCTGTAGGTCTTAAGGTCATTACCCTCTGGTCTACAGCCTCACCTGTTGGTCCTAAGGTCATTACTACAGCCTCACCTGTAGGTCCTAAGGTCATTACCCTCTGGTCTACATCCTCACCTGTAGGTCCTAAGGTCATTACTACAGCCTCACCTGTAGGTCCTAAGGTCATTACCCTCTGGTCTACATCCTCACCTGTAGGTCCTAAGGTCATTACTACAGCCTCACCTGTAGGTCCTAAGGTCATTGCCCTCTGGTCTACATCCTCACCTGTAGGTCATAAGGTCATTACTACAGCCTCACCTGTAGGTCCTAAGGTCATTACCCTCTGGTCTACATCCTCACCTGTAGGTCCTAAGGTCATTACCCTCTGGTCTACATCCTCACCTGTAGGTCCTAAGGTCATTACCCTCTGGTCTACACCCTCACCTGTAGGTCCTAAGGTCATTACTACATCCTCACCTGTAGGTCCTAAAGTCATTACCCTTTGGCCTACAGCCTCACCTGTAGGTCCTAAGGTCATTACCCTTTGGCCTACAGCCTTACCTGTAGGTCCTAAGGTCATTACTACAGCCTCACCTGTAGGTTCCACCTGGTGATCTGCCAGATCATCCAGCGCTGAGACCTCCACCTGTGGAGTTTTGGTGCCACAGCCCAGGGCGGGCAGACAGGGGTTGATGCAGATCTCGTACAGAGACCCACCCAGTACCGCACCGATGTGGGGGCCAGCCACAGGGATCCAGAACCAGCAGTAGTTGTTGTAGCTGGGGATGGGATCAGGAGGGCTTTAGATTTATTGGGGTTGTTGTAGCTGGTGAAAACTGTGGTTATTTTATGATGAAGTGGTTATAAGTGTGGTTATTTTACTGTGGTATGTGGGTTAAATTGTGATAATTTTATATTGTGTGATTAGGTGGCTACAAGAAATTAACCCTCCCCCCGTCAATTACCCCACGGAGATTCCACGCCGTAGTTATCCCCTGAGCAATTACCCACTGTCAATTACCCTTGTCAATAACCCCCCCCCCCCCCTCGGGAAATTACTCCCCCCCCCTCAAGTTAGAATCCCAACTCTAACTCAAATTTTATATCCCATATATATTACCTCAATCATAACCTTCAGAAAAAGACCAACACCTAAACATTCACCTCAGCCTAAAACTTAACACAAAACCAAAACCAACATTTGGTTTAAGTCTAACCTTGACCATAAAATTAACCCTGACCCTAACCCTAGCATTAAACCTAACTTTAACCCTAACCCTAGCTGTACCGTAAGCTGTGTCGGGGGGGGGGGAGTTATATTTTACTGGGCGAGGGGTAATTAATAGGGAGGGGGGTAATGTGATAGTTACTCCGGGGGTAAGATCGGGGGGGGGGGGGTAATGCCCTGTGGTTATTTTATGGTAAGTGGTTAAAATGTTAGTTTTAGCTAAATGTTTAGCTTGTAGTTACAATAGGGTAGTACGTGTTGATCAAGTCAAATGATTGTTTGCCCCTGTAGTGTTGGAGAATTCCAAAGACCTAAGTACCATTGGACTCTTAGTCAACTGACCTAATGACCAGACCTTACTCTAAAGAGCTTATAGATCCGGTCTATGGAGCTTAAAACCTCATCACAAATCCATTGAACATATGGCCTACGTTCCCACCCTACTGACCTAATGATCTGTCCCGTATCTTCTTACCTAAAGACCTTCTTTTCCACTTTTTTGGCATTATGACCTGCTCCACTAGACTACGTTCCCGCTCTACTGACCTAAAAACCTGCATCCAATTCAACTCACTTAAGGACCTACATCCTAAATCTACTGACCTAAAGACCTTTGTCCCAAATATACTGACCTAAAGACCTTTGTCCCAATATACTGACCTACAGAGATTGGTCCCAAATCTACTGACCTAAAGACCTTGGTCCCCAAATCTATTGACCTAAAGACCTTTGTCCCAATATACTGACCTAAAGACCTTTGTCCCAAATCTACTGACCTAAAGACCTTTGTCCCAAATCTACTGACCTAAAGACCTTGGTCCCCAAATCTATTGACCTAAAGACCTTTGTCCCAATATACTGACCTAAAGACCTTTGTCCCAATATACTGACCTAAAGACCTTTGTCCCAAATCTACTGACCTAAAGACCTTTGTCCCAAATCTACTGACCTAAAGACCTTAGTCCCCAAATCTATTGACCTAAAGACCTTTGTCCCAATATACTGACCTAAAGACCTTTGTCTCAATATACTAACCTAAAGACCTTTGTCCCAAATCTACTGACCTAAAGACCTTTGTCCCAAATCTACTGACCTAAAGACCTTTGTCCCAAATCTACTGACCTAAAGACCTTTGTCCCAATATACTGACCTACAGACATTGGTCCCAAATCTACTGACCTAAAGACCTTAGTCCCCAAATCTATTGACCTAAAGACCTTTGTCCCAATATACTGACCTAAAGACCTTTGTCCCAAATCTACTGACCTAAAGACCTTTGTCCCAAATCTACTGACCTAAAGACCTTTGTCCCAAATCTACTGACCTAAAGACCTTGGTCCCAAATCTACTGACCTAAAGACCTTTGTCCCAAATCTACTGACCTAAAGACCTTTGTCCCAATATACTGACCTACAGACATTGGTCCCAAATCTACTGACCTAAAGACATTGGTCCCCAAATCTATTGACCTAAAGACCTTTGTCCCAATATACTGACCTAAAGACCTTTGTCTCAATATACTGACCTAAAGACCTTTGTCCCAAATCTACTGACCTAAAGACCTTTGTCCCAAATCTACTGACCTAAAGACCTTGGTCCCCCACCCTGCCAGCAGGAGAAAGACCCTGGGAGCTAGGTCCCGTGCCGGGTTGATGGCGTAGCCACAGTTCTGGGAGAAGGTCATCCCGATAGCCACGACAACCAGGCCTACAACCAGCGGGACATAGCCTTTCCCCGGGGACATGTTCTTGGGGTCGTTCAGTGCAGACACTAGCAGCATCAGCACAGCGGTTCCAAATACCTGAGAAGGTAGATACAGCATATGTGTAAGCTCTGTTGGTGGAGTTTTTAAGGAACATAGGAGCCGGTGTTAAGTAGAAATTCTTTAGGCAGTAAATTATTACAGTATATAAATACAGAAAAAAAGGTGATGACGTAACACAACAACAGGAAGTAGGTGATGACATAACATAACTTCAGCAAGTAGGCAATGACGTAGCACAACTGCAAGAACTACATGAGGACAACACGTACCTGGTCCCCTAGGCCGTTCGCCACCGACAGGTAGTCCTGAGGGTAGGTCACAAATATGCTTGACGTCTCGATAGTTTTGTTACCTCCCTTGAATGAATGGAAGGCATCTGTGGACCAATCGGTGAGGTTCCAGCAACATGAATATATGGTGTATAGAAACAAAAACAAAACAGTTGAATGGACAACCAGCAGTTGTATTAATAACTCTCAGGTTTATCAACAGTAGTCAGGTATATCAACATAGTCATGTATATCAACAATAGTCATGTATATCAACAATAGTCATGTATATCAACAATAGTCATGTATATCAACAATAGTCATGTATATCAACAATAGTCATGTATATCAACAATAGTCATGTATATCAACAATAGTTATGTATATCAACAATAGTCAGGTATATCAACAATAGTCAGGTATATCAACAATAGTCATGTATATCAACAATAGTCATGTATATCAACAATAGTCATGTATATCAACAATAGTCAGGTATATCAACAATAGTCAGGTATATCAGCAATAATCAGGTGTATCAGCAATAGTCAGGTATATCAACAATAGTCAGGTATGGGAACTCGTGTCAAGAATATCATTAAGAGTTAAGTTTATCAACAAGATTTACATATATAAACAATAGTTAAGTATATCAACAAGAACTAGGTAAATTAACAAGTGTTAAGTATATCAGAAAGTGTTAGGTATATCAGAAGGTGTTAGGTATATGAATAACTATCATCAAGCTGTAGGTAAGCTGACCTACTAGATCTACCTGTTGTGACGTCATACAGGTACTTTGGTCTAGAGACCACTGCAGGCCTAGTTTACATTGGTCTAAAGTTTTATTTTAATGGACATGCAGACAACGACCGTGTAGATAACATGCACATTACCATACCAGAATGGGAAAACAAACTGAACATTAAATTACCGTAAAAGAGTGCTTAAATACAATAAAAATTACAACTCATTAGCATAATAGACAGGGTAGACGGATAAAATATGACATTCCCTAAATATAGAGCTTAGATAAAATATGTAGACAACGTTACAACACATTACCATAGTAGACGGGGTAGGTAAACAAAACATTAAATTGCTATAATAGAGTGCTTAAACAAAACAACAATATCACAACACATTACCATAGTAGATTGGACAGACAGACAGACAGACAGACAGAATATGAAATGACGACATTCCCTACATAGAGACAGCAGATTACCGTAGTAGACAGACAGACAGAATATGACGACATTCAATAGAGACAACACATTACCGTAGTAGACTAGACAGACAGACAGACAGAATATGACGACAGCCTTAAATAGAGACAGCACATTACCGTAGTAGACAGACAGACAGAATATGACGACTGTAATATATTGAGAATGTGAAGTCAAGGGAACTCACTCTTCTTGAATTAGTATTATATTTATAATTATATCTTGAGTGATGTCCCTTATATATATATATATATGTTTATGTCTCGTCACTTCCTCTTCCTCTTTCCATCATGTAGCTAAGTTAAAGACTAGTTAACAAAACAGCTCTCTTTTTGGCTTCTATCGTCACGTCGTTAGCTTCAATGTAAAAGCTTAACCTATCTAGATAATCATGAATGGTTTCATCATTCGAATCAAATTCTTTTATTTGGCCATACAGCGCCATTATCCTAGAAATACTTAGCCAATATACTCTAGCAAGCTTCTTTTTAAGTAAGCATGTGTTCTTTTAAGTCGATTGATCCCATCCTCGTCGCCAGTTGTGGTGGATTGTAGCTGTTCTATTATCATACACTGACGAGAAGCCACGTTGGTTGTTAACTAGTCAGCTACATGATGGAAAGAGGAAGAGGAAGTGACGAGACATAAACATATTTATATATATATAAGGGACATCACTCAAGATAACATTATAAATATAATACTAATACAAGAAGAGTGAGTTCCCTTGACTTCACAATTCTCAATATATTACAACGACATTCCCTACATAGAGACATCACATTACCGTAGTAGACTAGACAGACAATATATGACGACATTCCCTACATAGAGACAGCACATTACCGTAGTAAACAGCGTAGACCAGACCTGAAGCAACGAACGAGCCCAGGTACTGGCCAATCCAGTAAGGGATCAACTTGCTCCAGGGCAGTTTCCTGAACAAACACAGGGTCAAGGTCACGGCTGGGTTAAGGTGACCCCCTGTCGCATTAAAATTGTACACATTTATTAATTAAACTTGTACCCGTTGTTCAAGCATGGTTTAAAATTTTTCTTGTTTAAAGCTAAGAAGGTGAATTTGACTAGATATCTGTGAATTAAAACTAAATAATCAACGATAGTTAATGACCCCTAAGATACTAGTTGACAGACCCCCCTGTTACCTGGAAGACCCACCTGAAGTTCCTCCAGCCACGTACACGCCAAAGGTGACCCCTAGACCCCAAGACCACCTGACCTGATCAGGTGACCCCGCTTTACCTTCGCTGAAAACAAATTGAGCGACAGATCCCATGCCAAACACCTGTTGAGAGACATGAATGATGTCATCTGACAATAGTGACATGCATGGTGACTGTGACCTACTTAGGTCCAGTAATGTTTTATTTTGACATTGTATAATACCTTATATGGATTGATGGTGCAACTACCGGGGTTTTTCCACTGTCTTATTAAGGGTGTCTAGGACCCAGAAATTTTCCATCAAGATCTGATTGATTGATTCTGATCAGATGACCATCCCAACCAATGGCTACATGAGTTGAGGATAACCTCCCCTGTTGCATAAGTCTTTAACTGGATCGCACCCTCGCAACACGAGGCAGTCTACCTTGATCAAACAGTCTATTAAGACCAGGCCGTCCATTTTGTCCGGCAATAGATTCTGTCCATTTGAACGTGAGAGAGCTTAAGTCCTGTGTGTGCTATGCTTTCTTAAGTTGTTTTAGTCTTCTAGTATAATATTACTTGTCGCCAAGTGATTCATGAAGCTATAGCAGTGTTGTGTGACCTGTGGCTATTTTTATACAGTGTTAAAATCTGTGATAGTATTTTTTCTTACGCTTTGTAAGTTGGGTTTTGTTATTTTCTAAATTAAATATTTTATCTCGTTTAACCTAGTGTTCTGCCACAACTGTGTTCGCTTATTAAAGGTTGTATGCAGATTGGATGAGTTGTTAACTTCAATAGTATCGCTAGTTTTCCCTAGACATCGAGATCGAGCCCTAGTGTGTTGTTGAGTTAGTGTTCATCCATTTAGGCTTTAAGTCATTTGCATATAACCCCGAAAAAAGAATCCGGGGACGTTCACCATCTATCTGGCTGATAGATAGGTAAACGTTACATGACATATGACTATAAGGACATGAATGTTGACATCTGACTATAGTGACATGAATGATGTCACTTGACTATAGGGACATGAATGATGTCATAAGACAATAGTGACATGAATGGTGTCATCTGACATTAGTGACATGAATGATGACATCTGACTATAGGGACATGAATGTTGACATCTGACTATAGGGACATGAATGATGTCATAAGACAATAGTGACATGAATGGTGTCATCTGACAATAGTGACATGAATGATGACATCTGACAATAGTGACATGAATGGTGTCATCTGACAATAGTGACATGAATGGTGACATCTGACTATAGGGACATGAATGATGACATAAGACAATAGTGACATGAATGGTGTCATCTGACAATAGTGACATGAATGATGACATCTGACAATAGTGACATGAATGGTGTCATCTGACAATAGGGACATGAATGGTGTCATCTGACTATAGGGACATGAATGATGTCATAAGACAATAGTGACATGAATGGTGTCATCTGACAATAGTGACATGAATGTTGACATCTGACTATAGGGACATGAATGATGACATCTGACTATAGGGACATGAATGGTGTCACCTGACTATATGGACATGAATGATGTCATCTGACTATAGGGACATGAATGATGTCATCTGACTATAGTGACATGAATGATGTCATCTGACTATATGGACATGAATGATGTCATCTGACTATAGTGACATGAATGATGTCATCTGACTATAGTGACATGAATGATGTCATCTGACTATAGGGACATGAATGATGTCATATGCAGACTGTATCATCGATTAAATGATGATCAGTAAACATTTCTTTTAATATCAACTTTAGCTAACGTTGACTAACAGATGAAGTTTGATCACAAGTCCGACAAATGGAATCACCCAGAAACTGTTGTATGGGGCGGCGTGGTGGGACAGTAGATCACACGAATGCTACCCCGAAAATCTCGAGTTAGGATTCATGGCTTACGTCCATAGAACGTCCCTGAGTTCAACCAGTATTAATGGGTACCTGCCTCATGTTTGAGAAAGTAAAGAGTATAATGTTGACAAATGTATCTTTTTATATCCTTATATATGCTGAGGTCACTGAAACAAGTGAACTCTACTTCCTCTGCCGCATGGTAACAAGATCGGCTCTACTGAGACACCGTAACAGTCTATACGGACGAGAATTAGACTCATCGAATAATGGCTGTACTACAGCTTAACTCACCATTATATACCAACACAATTTGACTTATCTTAAGGACAACTGTTCTATATTTTGACTCACCATAAGTTCGCCTGTACCACAATTTAACTCACCATAAGTTCGCCTGTACCACAATTTGACTCACCATAAGTTCGCCGGTACCACAATTTGACTCAACATAAGTTCGCCTGTACCACAATTTGACTCAACATAAGTTCGCCTGTACCACAAGGTACTCACCATAAGGACAGCTGTTCTATAATTTAACTCACCATTAGGACAGCTGTTCTACAATTTGACTCATCATACGTTCGCCTGTACCACAATTTAACTCACCATAAGTTCGCCGGTACCACAATTTGACTCACCATAAGTTCGCCTGTACCACAATTTAACTCACCATTAGGACAGCTGTACCAAGACATTCCGCCACCCCCTCCTTCACGTGAGTTAAGAAGATCGCCTTGCACTGCCCCTTCACACTCGATCCACCTAGCAATAAAAAGTAAACTTGTAACAACCAACCTAATGCACCACAGATACCATATAAAACTAAGGCCCAGCTAAATGAAACAACTCGATCTAACAATGTAGAATAAAATTACCTTTTTCAGAATTTCTTTCCATTCTGTCACTTCTTCAAAAGTTCCATGTCTTTATCCGAGAAGTCTTTGTCTCCGCATTCAATTGTTTATAATTTTAATTAAGTTCTCTAGTGAGCTAAGTCGTACAGAAGAAAATTGTGACAGAGTAAACAAAAACTTGAAATAGACACGAAACGAAAAATCTGGCCACACTTGTTGTTTCGTCACTTGCTGCGAGGGGAGCTGATAAAAAACTTGACAACAAGGGGAGACAAGTGGACCGTAGTTCTTAGATTACTGGCCTTGCAAGTTGAAACTAATTCCAAAATAACACAAACTTATCTATGTAAGCTAATCACGTCTTCAATTACCATTACAAGACTCTCAGGTCTAGCAGGACTTTCACCATATAAACATACATATATATATATATAATATATATATATATATATATATATATATATATATATATATATATATATATATATATATATATATATATATATATATATATGTTTGTGTACATATATATATATACGTACATATATATATATATATATATATATATATATATATATATATATATATATATATATATATATATATATATATATATATATATATATATATAGCAAAGTGGTCGGGTGCCCGATAGGGCACTTCCCGGCGCCGCAGGCGCGTCAAATTTGGCACGAAGGTGCCTTATGGCGATAGAACACGAGGGCCGGTGACGGTTTGGCAAAAAGTCTACGGAGAGGGGGTCAAAACTGACCTCGACTGACCGGCGCCTTATATAAGCTATATTACGAAAAAAAAATTCCTCCGACGACCCCCCTTGAAATTTTGTGAGGTGGTAGGAGAACACCTTGGGGTGTCACAAAAAACTCGGCATATCTGGGAAAACTTCGTAAAGCGGTCAAAACTGACCAGTTGTATTTCCCTATATAATCTTTGTATTTTATGGGAAAAACAGAGGGTCATTTCAACGCAGACTTTAGGATACTTAAGCTCAGTATATCTGGCTAATTTTTTGCATGCTCCTAGGCCAATGGCTTGACCTTTAGGGAAAACTGTCGGTTACACTCAAAGCCCTCGACGAGGGCTAAAAAGTGACCGCGAGTGAAATTCTCTTTATATGAGCTCTATTACGAAAAAAAAAATTCCTCCGACGACCCCCCTTGAAATTTTGTGAGGTGGTAGGAGAACACCTTGGGGTGTCACAAAAAACTCGGCATATCTGGGAAAACTTCGGTAAGGGGTCAAAACTGACCAGTTGTATTTCCCTATATAATCTTTGTATTTTATGGGAAAAACAGAGGGTCATTTCAACGCAGACTTTAGGATACTTAAGCTCAGTATATCTGGCTAATTTTTTGCATGCTCCTAGGTCAATGGCTTGACCTTTAGGGAAAACTGTCGGTTACACTCAAAGCCCTCGACGAGGGCTAACAAGTGACCGCGAGTGAAATTCTCATTATATGAGCTCTATCACGAAAAAAAAATTCCTCCGACGACCACCCTTGATATTTTGTGAGGTGGTAGAAGAACACCTTGGGGTGTCACAAAAAACTCGCCATGTCCGGGAAAAATCGGGAAATGGGTCAAAACTGACCAGTCGTATTTCCCTATATAATCTTTGTATTTTATGGGGAAAACAGAGGGTCATTTCAAAACGGATTTTATGGACCTTACGCTCTTTACATCTGGCTCAGTTTTGGCATGCTTATAGGTAAATGGCTTGACCTTTAGGGAAATCTGTCGGTTACACTCAAAGCCCTCGACGAGGGCTAAAAAGTGACCGCGAGTGAAATTCTCTTCATATGAGCTCTATTACGAAAAAAAAATTCCTCCGACGACCCCCTTGATATTTTGTGAGGTGGTAGGAGAACGCCTTGGGGTGTCACAAAAAACTCGCCATGTCCGGGAAAAATCGGGAAATGGGTCAAAACTGACCAGTCGTATTTCCCTATATAATCTTTGTATTTTATGGGGAAAACAGAGGGTCATTTCAAAACGGATTTTATGGCACTTACGCTCTTTACATCTGGCTCAGTTTTGGCATGCTTATAGGTAAATGGCTTGACCTTTAGGGAAAACTGTCGGTTACACACAAAGCACTCGACGAGGGCTAAAAAGTGACCGCGAGTGAAATTCTCTTCATATGAGCTCTATTACGAAAAAAAAATTCCGACGACGACCCCCCTTGATATTTTGTGAGGTGGTAGGAGAACGCCTTGGGGTGTCACAAAAAACTCGCCATGTCCGGGAAAAATCGGGAAATGGGTCAAAACTGACCAGTCGTATTTCCCTATATAATCTTTGTATTTTATGGGGAAAACAGAGGGTCATTTCAAAACGGATTTTATGGCACTTACCCTCTTTACATCTGGCTCAGTTTTGGCATGCTTATAGGTAAATGGCTTGACCTTTAGGGAAAACTGTCGGTTACACACAAAGCACTCGACGAGGGCTAAAAAGTGACCGCGAGTGAAATTCTCTTTATATGAGCTCTATTACGAAAAAAAAATTCCTCCGACGACCCCCCTTGAAATTTTGTGAGGTGGTAGGAGAACACCTTGGGGTGTCACAAAAAACTCGGCATATCTGGGAAAACTTCGTAAAGGGGTCAAAACTGACCAGTTGTATTTCCCTATATAATCTTTGTATTTTATGGGAAAAACAGAGGGTCATTTCAACGCAGACTTTAGGATACTTAAGCTCAGTATATCTGGCTAATTTTTTGCATGCTCCTAGGTCAATGGCTTGACCTTTAGGGAAAACTGTCGGTTACACTTAAAGCCCTCGACGAGGGCTAAAAAGTGACCGCGAGTGAAATTCTCTTTATATGAGCTCTATTACGAAAAAAAAATTCCTCCGACGACCCCCCTTGAAATTTTGTGAGGTGGTAGGAGAACACCTTGGGGTGTCACAAAAAACTCGGCATATCTGGGAAACTTCGTAAAGGGGTCAAAACTGACCAGTTGTATTTCCCTATATAATATTTGTATTTTATGGGAAAAACAGAGGGTCATTTCAACGCAGACTTTAGGGTACTTAAGCTCAGTATATCTGGCTAATTTTTTGCATACACTACTATAGATGACTAGGCCGTATGGAAAAACTGTTGGTCAGACTCAAAGCCCTCGACGAGGGCTAAAAGATGATCTTGAGTGAAATTCTCCTTATATGAGATATATATATATAAATAAATTGACGAACGATCTCTTAATATTATGTGACGTCGTAGACCGACCCTGGAGGCTAACAAAAAAACTTTATTCCCGTCGGAAACAGCCATTATAGTTGTTAAATATGTTCATATACCGTAATTTCTTATATAAGCATAGCAACTGTTTGTAAAAAAAAAACAAAGACATACGTCATACGTTCAGTTTTCAAGGGAGGTAACGTTTTTTAAATTATTATTTTTCAAATAATTGTATACTATTTTAAACAGAAACAGAAAATGACGAAGTATAGCATTTGTTTTAGTACAAAATTAAGTTGTTAATTTAGTTACGTATCCCAATTAAATAAATAAATAAATTTCAAAAGGCAATGTAATAAAAACTATGAGATGTACTGTTCATGGAAGCTGTGTAGTTCTAATTCCATTTTACTTATACATTGCGTACTTTCCGATATTTCTCTGCGAACGGTATTTAAATGACAAACTAAAACATTTTTTTTCTAAAGTTAGCATTACTGTTTAAATTAAAGCACTCAACACCAAATCCATCGCTAAATAATTAAGTATTCAAATTCTCAAATGTTATTTAAAAACCTAAGCGAAGCTAGGCAGTATGCCTAGTATATATATATATACGTACATATACGTATATATATATATATATACGTATATATATATATATATACGTATATATATATATATATATATATATATATATATATATATATATATATATATATATATATATATATATATATATATATATGTGTGTGTGTGTGTGTATCATAATGATGTCTTGATACTATCTATAATTTGTGTCTATTAACCTGAAACACTTTCATTTTGGGGTAGTTGGGGGGGGGGGGGGTGGATCATTCCTAATTCTCGCGCCAGCACCCTCCTGCCTCCGCCCCTGTCTACCACACATACATACAAACGAAAGAGTTAGGGCTAGTCCAAATCTATGCATGCCTGACATCACGAAAGACCAAGTGACTGAGTTATGTTCCCACTGAGAAACGCAAACCCACAGATAGCTCTGGGCCTGTTGATATCGTATGTGGGTCAGGGTTGGTCTAACGAGCCGATATTCCAAGTGCTGGGTTTGTTGTAGGAATAGGGCGTAGGTTGGGAGCACGATATTTCTAGTGCTGGGTTTGTTGTAGGAATAGGGCGTAGCTCGGGAGCATGATATTTCAAGTGCTGGGTTTGTTGTAGGAATAGGGCGTACATCGGGAGCATGATATTTCTAGTGCTGGGTTTGTTGCAGGAATAGGGCGTAGGTTGGGAGCATGATATTTCAAGTGCTGGGTTTGTTGCAGGAATAGGGCGTAGGTTGGGAGCACGATATTTCTAGTGCTGGGTTTGTTGTAGGAATAGGGCGTAGGTTGGGAGCACGATATTTCTAGTGCTGGGTTTGTTGTAGGAATAGGGCGTAGGTTGGGAGCACGATATTTCTAGTGCTGGGTTTGTTGTAGGAATAGGGCGTAGGTTGGGACCACGATATTTCTAGTGCTGGGTTTGTTGTAGGAATAGGGCGTAGGTTGGGAGCACGATATTTCTAGTGCTGGGTTTGTTGTAGGAATAGGGCGTAGGTTGGGAGCACGATATTTCTAGTGCTGGGTTTGTTGCAGGAATAGGGCGTAGGTTGGGAGCATGATATTTCTAGTGCTGGGTTTGTTGTAGGAATAGGGCGTAGGTTGGGAGCACGATATTTCTAGTGCTGGGTTTGTTGTAGGAATAGGGCGTAGGTTGGGAGCACGATATTTCTAGTGCTGGGTTTGTTGAAGGAATAGGGCGTAGATCGGGAGCACGATATTTCTAGTGCTGGGTTTGTTGTAGGAATAGGGCGTAGATCGGGAGCACGATATTTCTTGTGCTGGGTTTGTTGTAGGAATAGGGCGTAGATCGGGAGCACGATATTTCTAGTGCTGGGTTTGTTGTAGGAATAGGGCGTAGATCGGGAGCACGATATTTCTAGTGCTGGGTTTGTTGTAGGAATAGGGCGTAGATCGGGAGCAGTTCTTGCTCGGCAGGGTGTATTTAGCTTGAGCGGGGCCCTTGCGAAAAACACACGCACACACGCGCACATGCACACACACACACACGCACACACAAACATATTTTATATATATATATATATATCTAATATATAAAGCTCAATTCTGTATGTAACGT